TCCTGATTTCCAAATTGGTTTATCCTTAACCTGAAATATTGTTCTCCTTGGAGAGGTCCCAATGAGGTGAACACTGAACATCAGGTTAAGTTATACCCTCCTCTCCACATACATTTTCCAAAAAATATCGTTCCTCGGATCTTTCCAAAGGCAGATATTTATATTGCATATAGGAATTCAAAATTCTCTTTTCAAGGCTGTCCAGGAAAAAGATTGAAATAACTGAAACATCCTCCAAAATATAAAATCTTCAACAGGTTTTTATTTGGGTTTCCCCTCGGGGAAGTATCCCTATCCCTGTTCAGGAAAATATTTCAAAATGAATGACACACCTCCAGAATGAATGACAACATCTCCGGAAACATCATCATCTTCACTATGGAATACACGGGAATGCATCACTAATACTTATACTCGTACTTATATGTGTGTCATTTCAAGATTTGATTGTTCGTTAGAGTTTTCTCAACAAAATATTGTGTGAACCAATTCTCATTTAATTTTAAACAATCTTGTTTTTGCTTCCGTTCAACTGAACTTTATTTTGAGAAGTTTACGGAATCCTGATGACCTGATGGTGAGATATAGTTTGATGATAATACCTATATTCTCGCACCTATTTGGTGATGATCATACTCATGATCATAAACTCCCACCTCGCTCCCACTCATCACATCATTCCGGTGTTGCTTTGTTGAATGAATTGTCGCAAATTGTTTTGATAATGGAATATCTCGAGAACAATATTCAATGTCACAGACTTGTAATTTGATGGGACTGTGGAACAGTTTACAACACCTGTTGCTCCGTGTTGCTCCCACGACCATACCTTAATAACAGAGAGCACATCAGATGACGATGGCACCATCATATATAACTATTGATTCATTGAGTCTCCTTTTACGATTTGAAAATGTTTCCGAAAACATTCTCTTGAAAATCTTTCCCATATCAGTTTTGGTCAACTTATTTGATGAATTAGGTATAGGTATACCTATTGGGAAAAGGTCGGTCTATTTAAATGGAGTTGAAAGCCTATTTTTTTTCCTCGATTTATGCTTGTTTAGGGACCAGTAAATTCTTTTTCAGAATATGGCATGGTTCCGTGGGTTTTATCGGGTTTTCCTGCGGATGCAAAGCAAATGCACCATGCTTCATTCAGCACAATGAAAGTCGCCCCGTTGCGCATTGGCCACATCATACATATTCTGAAAGGTCTTCTGTCCTGTCTCACCTGTGTTTTTCTTCTTTTAATGGATTAGGTTCTTCGGAAATTCGACTTGTACCACACACAATTATTATAGTTCTCTGTAATAACATGCTGTTATTGGTACTCAATAAATTCTATTCTATTCTATAGTAGTGAATGGTAGTCCATACAGTCCACCCCCACCATCAAAACAAAGATGGCGCTGTCGCTGTCAACGAACGCATGTCAACACTATGTTTTCGATTGAATCGACGGCATAGAATCAAATTTTGGACACAATATTGGCCAAATCGCGTTATCATTGCGAGTAACTTTTACCTTTACGTTGCGGCTTAGCTTGTTTCCTTCTCCCACGTGACCCATCCGAGACCATCATCATCTAGTCGACGATAATTCGCCCATCAACCCACATGGAACCCACGCGCACATTCACCGTGTCCCAGGTCAGTTTTATCTATCTAGCACTCTGCTGCAACGAATTTTTGAGGTTAGGTGGCGAGAGCGGAGACGTTTGTCCGCGAAACGCGTACGCAATCCCCGCGAACGTCAGACTCCTCCGGTCGACGGCAGTAAACACGCTTTCCGTCTCTCCATTGGCCGCTCCTACCTGGTCTGATTGGTGCCCCCGCAGGCAGGTCGACTCCTACCTGCATGGTCCGCACACCTTGACACCCACGCGGCTGGTTGCAGGTGAGAATCAAGCGGGCCGAGGTTTTCGTGGTGTCAGCTGATCGGGACGGACATTTTGGGAACTGGTAGAGAGAGGAGCGGTGTTGCCGGGTTTTTCTGGCTGGCTATCCGTGATTTTCAGATGGAATTTCCGTGTTTACGTGTTTTACAGGACATTACCAAGTTTTTTTGTGATTAAAATCTACAAAACAAGATGTTTCGAAGAATAATAGTGCTATTTGTATATCCATTTGCTTCATACAGTCTCGAAATTACCATTTCGTACCTACCTATGCAATCTAGACCGACGGTTGGATACGTATATATACAAGTATATATGAAACATTGAAACGTAGTAATTTTTGTTGATGAAGGAAAGATGAGACATGAAGAAATAAGTATATATACCTACAATAACGTTGGCTAACAAAATGTCAGAATACCTATACCTACCTATATATAGTTATGATTTATTGGAAACCTATCAAAAGTTGTGGATTTCTTGTTATGGAGAAGGTATGGCAGCATAATTATATATCCCTATTTTTCATTACCTCAATATTAACGATCAATTTCGATACGCGAGTTAAATAGTGTAACATCTCAAAAATCGTATAGTTTCGAGAAAACCGCAATTGAAAATTCAAGTCATAATAATTTTGAATCTGAATTTGTAGATTATGTCTCAATAATATAATATAGCCCTGCCAAAGTGGTTTTCTGTTTACTTCCTAAAATCAATAAATTTAGAAAAAAAACTCATGGTGAAAATGATTTGCTCGGACTTGTAACAACATCATTATTATATAAGTAAGTATATACAATCACTACAGAAACAATAATGATGTAACATAGTGATATAAGTTCATTTTGAGTGTTGAAATTGACTATATTTTGAGTTATGCAATATATAACTTGTAACAACTCTGAATTTATATGGAAATGAAGTTTCCTTCAGTTCTGTAGAGTAACTAGCACCATCTCTTGGTCAATACTGAAACTTTCAGTTGTTACAGTATAGCACGCGTAAGCAAACAAAATGATGAATCAGATAGCGTATACAACTCAAAATAGTTATTTTTCGAGTCATTACACTATTGTTTGTACTCGGGTATTGATTTGTCAATTAACGAGCGATTGTGGTTGGTACCTATATATACCTTGTGACACTGACTCATAGTCTCATTTGTTTTTCTATAGCCATATTTCTGAAATTTTGTACATCGAATATGATCGGTATAGAGGGCTCTTCCTCACATTTTAGAAAATTCTTTTCATCCTCCAGTTTTCCTAGCATGACATCAACTTTCGATTTTCAAATGGAACACCCTGTATTTTATTCCAAAATCGGTAAAAGATTATTATAACGAATTCAACAATATCGGGTTAGATGGAGTAATTTCAAACGATTACGAAGATATTATTCGCATTCTCTTTCCGTTTGCTCAATTAGTGTGACAGATGAAGAAGTATTTTGAAATAACCCAATCAAACCCGGTATTGTTGAATTCGTTATGATAATCTCTAACCGATTATGAAATAAAATATAGGGTGCCTTCATTGGTAGGAATGGCAGGTTAAATAAAGTGAATGGAAAAATGTTGTAACGAACAACGTATTTATTATTTATTAATCGGCTAGCTAGCTAGCTATTCCCGATATAGAGAATAAGCGTGACTACACCTAGCAGTGTTTCTTGTAAGCTGTCAGGTGTTTAGTCATAGTATATCATCATTACAAGATGACAAAATACTGTGGTTTAGTTATTGCCGTCAGGTAGAGCGACATTTTCTTTCGCGAATTTTGGACCGTTAAAAATAGTCTTCAACATAGAGTAAATTGATGTGATCGGTGCATGACTCAATATCTTCTACCAAAAAATCAAAATTGCCGTGTTTGAACGGTCCTGAAAATTCAACCGTTACCGAGTTTGCAAACACGGTTATCATCATGTCGTTGGCAACACTGCAAAGGGCTGCCATTCTCGCCTCCCACTTCTCTACACCATGTGGTGAGAGGCGGGAAACGGGAAATACCAGTTTAATTTTTGATTCTTTGAAGGAAAGTTGGTTGAGAAGAGGGTCGCTTGGCAGCGCTGTGAGCTGGTTGGGAAAGTCGGTAAGGTAGGCCGCGGTTCAAGGTAGTCGGTGTGATTGAAGGTAGATGGCGACACTAAGACAACATTATTATTAAAACATATACATATTTCTTCGAAAATTTGTTTATTCCTGAAATAGTCTAATGAATGGGGAAGTTTTCCATATTGAGGTTTTTATCTCACTATGAATTTCGTAAAAAAATGATATATACGTATTGTTTCTTTTTTCGTAAGATCAAATTTCACTTCAGAAAAAAATTATTGAAAGACGAACTGTTGGCTCATCCACCATTCCTATGTCTTACTTTCTGGAAATCTACCTTCACACACAGAGTGCCGACATCATCAATATGTCTAGATTTCCGGAAATTGTTCTTTGATATAGGTTCCTAAATTCTATACTTTGTCAAGTATTATGAATATAGGTAATTCCCATAAATCTATCATTAGCTGGATCATAGATCTAAATACACACGTTGATCACTAATAATGAAGATAAATTATGATATTTTGCGATATAGTATCTATAATTTTTCACCATCATTATAATACAATATGTTATTCCTAACTTGTCAGTTTTCTGCTAATGAATTCGTTTTTCCTTAATAAAACGGATCTTTTTTTTAGGAAAGTCCACACCACTCAAAATACTGACAGGCACACCAAGAGGAAGGAGCCATCATGGGTGTCGGCTTCTTTCTGTTCTGATCGATGGCAGTAAATTAGGAAGGATAGTCGTATCATCGAATGTAGCCGATAGTGATTAATTGATTCAATATTTTCGTTCAGGATCGAGCTCTATTCGAGATATGTTTCAATGCATAAATAACAAAACCATAACCTGTCAGAATGAAGCCAACTACCATCTGCATTCCTGCTCCGAGTGCATTTGTGGTTATGTATGTTTTTGTTTACCAGTTTTGCTTCTTCTTCTATTTGTTGGATAACACGCTAACTTACAAAATTACCGGTAATTATTTATTAGAAAATTCGCAAGTTAGACACATAATGCTTTACACATAATTTATTTATTTTTTAAATTCCTTACAAAAGTACAAAAAATTATTAGTATCACAAAACAGTGCAGCATGTGGGAAATTGTATCACATTTTAGCTATAAATGGATGGTTGACAGTTGATTTCATCAGCTTTCTAGTACATGAGTTGCAAACCAGGTGTCACTTTTTCGACTATATCACTTCCTAAATGAGGTAGATCTTCAGGCTTCAAAATGCCTTTGGGTAGATAACCAATCAAGTTCTTGACATGGTCATTCAGCATTCGTAGTCTTTCTTCTTCAATAATTCGTTTCCTGGAAATGAAAATAATCAATATTCACAATTCCCCTGATGTCTGGATATATTTGTTTACCTCTGTTCTATTTCCATCTTTTCTTGTTCTTCCATCTTCATTAGAAGCTGCAGCTCTTCTGCATGTTTCTGTCTTCTTTCTAATATCATTTGTTCCACATCTCTTCTCAACTGCAACATTCTCATTCTCTTCTTCTGAGCTGAAAGTTGCTCTAGCTTGTCATCTTCAGCTAGTTTCACTAACATCTGAAAAATCATCAACAAAAATATTGTTACTATGAATATACACCACATATTTATTAAGCGTTTACCGCCTCTCTGAATTTGGCTTCTTCTTTGCTATCTTGCTCTAGTTTCTGTTGCTTGTCTTCCATCTGTTTGGCAAGGGATCTTCTGGTCTCTATTCTCTTTCTGATCTGTTTTTCTAATTCGTCTCTGTGCCGTTTCTCCGACATCTCTTTCTGTTCTTCTTCCAATAACTCTTGGATTATATCTTCTCTTTCTTGCTGTTTGGCCTATTAAAAAATTATTCCTTCATTGTTTTCCGAAAAAACACCAAACACTCATCTACTTCTACTTCTAGATAACCCTAATAACTTGCATAGTATCAGATAAAGCATTATCATATTTTCACAATGTTTTCAAGATTAGATTTTTATGTAGAAAATAATCGGTAAAGATGTTTTCCCGACTCTTGAATCTATTATAATTTAAATTTTTTTCCAACTTGGGAATTTCCTTTTTCATAAACATTTTTCCTGCTACTATATGCTATTTGTTTGCAAAGACTACTTGTTTCAACTTCAGATAATAGCAAAATTAGTTACATACTCCACAGTCCACTTTCTTAAAAAAAATAGTTCTATTCAAAATGAAACTTGAGTCATTTCAAACACTTTTGCATTCACCGTTAATTTTAAGAGGCACACTCTGTACATCCCTAACGACATCATAACTTGACAATATTTTGAAACCTGTCATTGAATAAATGTATTTTCGTCAAACTGAATGATTTGAAGACGGCTTTCTCTCATATTATTTTATTCCATATAATTAAGAAGAAAAGCAAGTCCTGAGAAATGGCAACCAAAGCAAAAAATGCGCCCAATAAAGCTTTCGGAATGAGTCTGGACATGCTGATGGACTCGATGGAAGAAACCAGGTTCAAGAAGAAACACCAAAACCTCGTAGAGAGACTGTCGAGAAAGTACCACTTCAGCTACATCGAGATAGAATGTTTGCTGATAGTCTATTACAAGCTGCAGAAAGACAATGTGGTGCCTCAGCCGGGCGTGAGCAAGTCTCAGTTGAGAGATGTCTTCCATTTTGCTTTCGACATGACAGATGACGCCCTGATGGACAGAATTTTCTGGTCTCTGATCAAAGGGACCAGCAGTTTCGTTTCGATGGAGACCTGGATAACTATTCTTTCTTTATTCCTGAGAGGGAGTTTGGACGAGAAAATAAACTACTGCTTTTCAGTAAGTTCACCCTTTTTCATGAACCTATCAGGGGGTCCAAGAAAGTCTTATACATCCTTTTAACGCCTTTGTGAATTTAACTACAAGAGTCTAAAAGAAAAAGTCAATCGATAGTCGGTGACACCTTGTTTTCAAAAAAGATTGAAGAAAAGGAATATCTACAGGGTGAACAACTAAGAACGACCGTCGGCCTTATTTCAGCAACGAATAATGGTATAACTTTGAAAAAAATATATCTCGGGAGGAGTACCCTAAAAAATAGATCGAAAATACTCTTTGGGTTCCTGAAATAACCGCTATAGGTGGCGTAACGGCTATGAGTAGATAGAAAATTGAAATTTTCTCCACATTTTGTATCAAGATGAATTGAAAATGCCGTGTTGGGACACCCGTATATGAGTGTGACATTTTATTGCACCATCATCACACCTTTCCAACGCAAATTGATTGATTGATTGATTGATTTGAAAAAAAAAATGTAATTGAATCCATTTTTATTACATGATGGGATAGAGAAATTAAATCTCAACAGACCAACGAAAACCACAGGAATGATATATTTTCGCTGACGGAAGATATTAACGATCAAAGTTGGCAGAATGAGTGATGACAGCCGTTCTTAGTTTTTTACCCTGTACAGCATATCTCACTTTGAACGGCCTCCTTTATATCTTAGCTATAAGTCCATCGATTCTTACCAAATTTGAACTGGTATGGATAATTATCAATATGATGAGGTTTTCAGAGACAAACATCATTATGTACAGTGCCGTGAGTTTTTATTGAAATATAAGAGGGTTCATTCCTTATGAAATTCAATTAGGCATTTTGTTGAGGAAAACCAACTTCATAGTATTGTTCCTCATGCCTTTCATTGTGTGACACTTTGTTTGACAAGCGATATTTGCGTTGGCGAGGTGGAGCGACGCGAAGCCTTAGTACCTAAGAGTTAAACTTCAACTCCAGCTCCTAGACACTAAAAGTGTTGCCTAGCAGCAAACATACTAACCATTTTATAGTTTTCGTAAGAAAAACATCAACTTCAAAAGCTTACTTTGGAACAAAAATTGACGACTTTTGAGCCGATTGTAGAGTAGTAGACAAATCGAAAAATAAAATTTTCACTTCATCTTTGGACGTTTCGGAGAGAATATTAGACTACAAATTTAATCGACGGGAACTTTCATGTAATGTTTTATCTTTGAAAATTTTCAGGTATACGACTTTATGGGAGAGGGTATTCTGGGAAGAGAAGCCATTTTCCACCTTCTGAAAAACTCCTTAGTTGGTGTAGGTGGTGATGAAGATACAGAGGAATCAGTCAAGGTGATGCTTACAGTGTGTCCACTCTTGTGAATCCTTTATCTTTTGATCCTCATCGATTTGTTAGGTAGATTTGGAATGTATATTCAACAAGTGGGTGAGATTTAGTGAAAAACCTCCCAAATTTGTAGGAAATTGACATCATTAGTGAAAAATGTTGTCGAATGTATAAACTTCAAATAGATAACAAAAAATATTATGAAGATCAATGAAACATTGAAAGGTTTTACAGGAGTGATGAGTCCTCGAAGTGGACACACTATATACCAGTTAACAATCTTTTTATGAATTCTTTAGGATATGATAGAAATTATCACCAAAAAAATGGACTTTGACAGAGATGGTAAAATTTCCTTCAGCGATTACAAACAAGCGGTTCTGAAAACTCCTGGACTCCTGGAATGTTTTGGACAATGTCTGCCCAACCGTTATACAGTGAATGCCTTCCTTACATCTATGACTCATTATGTAAAAAAAGAAGTATAGTTTTTCAAAATAATTGAGCTCTTACCTTTTCTTCATAAATTTGCTTAGCAATGTTTTCAGATATTTCAGCTTTTCTTGCTTCTAGTTGTTCCCTTTCCTCTTCTCTAAGACAAAAAAAACGGATTGGATATTTAATATACACATATAATTATGCATGACTATTATGTCCCCTTTACAAAAAACGCCTATTTCAGTTTTACTGAGATATATGGAGCATCCTGTTGTATATTTTTGAGAGTTTGATAAATGAGTCTGCAAAAACAAACCCTCGTAAAAACAGAAATGAAAACCAATTTTTCTCCAAATGACATTAAAAAGTGTCTTGGCACAATATACTTTACTGCCTAGGAAGAAAAAAAATTAGTTGCTATGCAATGTTCAAAGTAAGTTCAGAGTAATAATTTCAACAAAGATGAACCAAATTAGTAATCGAAATTGGCAATGACATTGAGTGAACACCGGTAATTTTGCCCTCATCGTGGGATGGTTTTTTTTTCGAAAAATTTGTTTTATACATATGTATTTTTGTCTGCCCACTAAACAATTTCAATTTACTGCAAATTTCCAGCAAGTACATTTTTGCGAGTGTAAATTACACATTCAATTTGCAGCAAGTTAACTCAGAGATGGCATCTTCCTCCTACAGAATTCACAATGGAAACTTACATGATGGAAGTTGTCAGAAAATTGAATGTCAACCCATACCGAAGTTCCAGTGAGTTTACTCTAAATGATAATTTTGCGAATTCTCAGATTATTTGCAGTAAACTTGCAAAAAATTATAGCTGTCACTTGAGAACTCTCTGCAATTTTTACGAAAATTGTATCTTGAGCTGATGGTAAACTCGCAGGTTAATTGTTTTATATGGTCTTGTAAATACCAGTAATACTTACGACAAAATCAGGGCGAGTGGATAATGAGTTATAGAAGAGCTATAATTCTGAATTTGCATTGAAATTACACTTTGGTAGGCTGGTGCAAAATTTGAAAATATTTTTGATACTGATAAAAAAGGCCAACAATTTCATCAAATTTGTTTGAAGTGACGCCATTTTCATCTCATTCTTGAAAAACATTCGACAATGTTCCATTCGGATGAATTGAAGAATATGGCATTATATCAAATAATTTGATCAAATTTGATGACATTATACACGGGCTTTTGTCAGTATCAAAAGTATTTCCACATGCAAATAATTGTTTCTACCAATCATATTATTAGAACGAAATTAATACAATTCAAGATAAGAGATGATAATACCACTATTGAAGCAATACATTTTTTGATATATTTTTATTCAATTTTATATCATCTTCACAAATAAAAATAACGATTATTCATAAAAAATTATTAAAAATTCTAGTAGAAACTAAAACATTCGTTTTATGAGTATGGAGGATAAAGGCTTTTTCAGTTGTAAATTTTTCTAATAAATCTCGTTTTAGCATAATGGAATCAAATCATCACTATCTTCTCAAAAAGCTATCATCCATGTTGGGATATGATGCACGAACAGATTCTGAAAAGAAATAAATAGATATCAGCTGGAATGATTGTGAAAAAAATTACCTATTTTTTTCTCAATGTTTCAGAATTGTTATATTCATACACAGGGTGGACCATTTTAATCTATTATGGATAATATAGTTCTTTCCGGAAGCCGCTAACAAAAAAATGGTTTCCACAAAAGTTGAAGGGTTCAATGGAAACCAAATAATAGATCTACTCACAACTCCCCCCCCCCCCAGGCCCGCATACGGAGATGATTTTTTTTTTCAATGGGAACCCTACTTTTTCACAACGGATTCTTGTTTACGGTGAAAAAAAAATGTCTAGCAAATTTTTATTTGGGCACCAAATTTCTAATTTTGGTACATGAGTTGGAGAAAATAAGGCCCTCCTGCTAATCTACTTTGGCACTACTTTATGTTTTTAAGCAAACCCTCAATCTGGTTAACGAATTACATGAATGAAGTAAGATTCTTTGTTTTCTCCAACTCAAATACCAAAATTATAAATTTGGGGCCCTTTAAGGGGCGCAAAAAAAAATTTGCTAAACATTTCATTTTATTTTCTCCGTAGAACAAGAATCCGTTGTGAAAAAATTGGGTTCCCATCTCGGTTCCCATGGAAAAAAAATTTCTTATCCCAGGGCCGTATGGGTGCCCTGAGGTGGGTTGTGAGTAGGGCCATTCTTTGGCCCCCATTGAACCCTTCAACTTTTGTCAAAGCCATTTTTTTGTTAGCGGCTTCCGGAAAGAACTATTATATCCATAATAGATTAAAATAGTCCACCCTGTATATATAGAGTATCCAGTAAACTATGCTTGGGTCATAATAGACAATTTCCTAACCTATCAGAAAACAACAACTTGACCTCAGTAAAAACCTCACGGTTTTCGAGATAAGTAGAGGTAGGTATTTGAAACAAGCTTTTATAAAGTCAGTAATATTGAATATGAATACCTATACCACAGATTAACAAACTTTAATCTGTGCCTATACCTACCATCAGAAACATGGAGGTAGAAAATGAAAACAAAAGAGCATCATGAATGTTGAAACATTTTTGACAATCTCTGTTTAGCATTTACAGGTTAGGTACCTATATCTGAGATGTTTTTTCACAAAATTGTGTTATAATGGTTGGTTAGAAGGAAGCACGATGAAAATATTCATAGGAAAAGTTTCCATGACGGTTATAATCATATATCGTAATTACGTCTATTGATATTTCACAATTTTTCTTCCACCTGTATCAAGTCTCAAATTATTTCTGGTTCATGAAAGAGTCACGATGATTAAGATAATGAAATATGATTCACTTACCGCCATTTCTGCTTAACTATGATCTTCTTTAGAAGGGTTATTGAATTCCGAACATTCGATAGGTAATTTGTTAAGAAGATAAGAAATAATCACACTGCGCACCAACACCAAAACTCATCACAACTCACTGGCAAAGACAAAACAAGATGGCAGAGAGGTGAAGAAGGAGAACAAAGAGACAATTATTACGCTTGCGCATGCATCCGAATTGTATCACGTGATACATATAAGCTTAATGGAAACTTATGATAAATTTGTAGAGTGTTACTTGTGGTAAATTGATAAAAATGATTTTACTATAAACTTTCACTAGTGAAGTTAGATACTGAAAGTTTAACGTCAACTCTCATATCGAGGTGGTGGTAAGTTCATTTTTTTCAAGTTACAATAAGCTCATTTTTGAAAACTTTCTAAAAATCATCTTACAGGCAATTTTCGAATGGAAGTTGCAAATAACCAAATTTACAGTAAATTCTCATTTAACTCGCGAAGAAAGATTTCAATTGTAAAAGACTATCATACTTGCTGCAAATTGTTGTAAATTACAATGTTTAGTGGGTGTAAAACACGAATTTGATGATGAAAATGTGAATAAACTACTATTTATCGATATATTTCAACAAATTCCGCCTTCTTTTTCCCCTTGTGTTGGATGCATTTACAGCTTACAGCAGCATACTTGCTCTTCTTATTTGGCCATTGATATACTTCAATGACACATTTTTATATAGAAAATTCAACAGGGAATATGATTTTTATAGAGTTTTCCATATTTAGTGAAAAAGCATACCAGATGAAGTCCATTTACGGGATGTCAAATGTCAACGGATTGCCTTCGAATGACATTACACACGCCATAATTTTAAATTATATTCTTCCTTCTTTTCACTAAACATGGATAAATCACAAGGAAATAATATTTCTAGTTGACTCATATAATAGAATAAAATGCGTCATACATTGTGATATACATATATAATATATAAATAATTGTCCAATGATGGAAAAAGAAGAGGGCAAATTGTTCTGAATATGATCCAGAAGACCAGGCGGCAAAGAAGGTGAAATTTGTAACTTTATAGTGAAATTTCTTGATAAATAATGGTTTGTTCACATTTACATTATCAAATTCGTGTTTTTCATAAGTGCGAAATTACCAATAGCTCTAAAAGCTATGGCTTATTTTATCGAAAATATTGAAAGAACATGATGCAGAATATTTGAACAAATAGGAAACATCATGTTATCAGAAGACTTGAGCCGTCTTATTTTTTTTTTATTGACGGAGAAAAAGATAAATAGTGAAAGGCCAAATGACATGAAAATAAAAAGTCAATTCATCAGTTCCACCAACCAGAACTTGATGTTTTGATGAAGCGGTTTGGTGGACAAGTCGGCTCAAGTTTTGAAGAGAGTGAAATGAGTAGAATAAGGAGAAAAAATGATATGTTGAACATGGCAGAAAAGAAGATTCAAGCCTTGGCTGGTTTCCTATGAAACACCAGCAGCAGCATTGAATCTTGTGCTTTTCTGCCTAGTTATACAAATAACCTTTGTTCCAGTATGATCTAAGCAATCAAGAGACAAGAGACGAAGTCCCTGTAAAGTGAAGAATAAGAAGCAATATCACTTCCAAAATCCATAATTTCCATAGCCTTTGTCCCAACGTTCTGAGCTTGCTACTCTGTTTTTATGTACAGTACACCAAATTCGTCTTCCCAATTTATTTCTGTACCTGACACATTCTAGGAAGTTCATAAAGATGGTGTAAGCACTGATAGAGAGTTAATAGTCCATGGTCTGAGCAATGATGGAACGAAGATATGGTGTAATTACTGATGCGCTTTCGTTTCAGAGCAGCGAGAGCAATGGTTCAGTTGATCGTCTAATAGATGGCGACATTGCACAATTATGACTTCTGTCAGTCTTGAAATTGTCGCAGATTTTTCGAATTCAGAGTTGTTTAATCCCACTGTTACATATGTTCCGCGTACCTAAAATGGCATTTGCCATTTTATTTCCACTCGTAACAGCAGCAATAGCAGCATCACCATCTAGCGGGAAAATGTAGAATCAACGTCTCGCTCGTTGTGACGTAGAGAAATCATAGTAGACTGGTCGAGTGATTTTTCTGAAATTTTCAATACGTAATAATGGCCGAATGCGCACACCACATCTTACTTCCATCATTCTACTCATAGTTGTTATGTGCCCATAGTCAAATACCTCATTAAAATGAGAATATGTAGTCTAGATGAGACAGGAAAATGATAGCCAGCCAAATAAAACAGAAGAAGAAGAACAAAGTTGTCATGCCTTCATGGTTGGTCTACCAACCTTACCTTAGCTCAGGCACAGTATAGACCCTTTCTGTGGTTCAGGTGAAATAAATTAAACTGATCTAAAAATTGTATGGATACTATGATTTAACTATTGACCATGCTATTAATAAATTTGTCTAGCAAAAATGTGCTACAGCTATTATTCATATGTCTTTTGGGTTAAAAATATCCTCAATTTTTTTCCATTAGTTTGTAAATTGTTTCATTTTGCTCCCTGATTTTTTTTTCAATATTTCTTTCTTACCTGGCCTTGATGCTAGCAGCTTTGCTCATCAAATACTCTTGTATTTTTCTGTTTTCCTCTTCAATTTCATTCTTCTTCTTCCTTTTCCATAACTCTTGTGCTGCTTTGAATCCATCCATTTCCTCCCTGGTCCTTTTCATCTTACACATTTTCTCAGCTATTTCTCTCTCATCCTCATCATGGATTCTTTGAATGATATCATCAATGAGTTTTTTCTCTCTCAAATATTCTTCATACAGGTGGCGCTTGGATTTTTCTCTCAGGATTATTTGGTCTTGCAGTTCTTGCTTGTAGTGGCGTTTCTTCATCATGTCTTCTTGGAAGATTTTCTTTTTGTATTCAGATTCCTCAACCCAGGCAGTTTTCAAGATTTCATAACTTTGTTTCTCTTGGATCTATGAGGAGATTATTTCATTCTAGTGTTTGATTTAGAAATAGTATAGGCAACAACCTTCCTAAACTTCATAATGCTTTAATAAAATGAGAACTTGATATTCATTTGGTTTAAGAATGTTGATATTTGTACTGTGTGCTGATTGGTGAAAAATCAAAATGTGAACCTCATTTCACCTCATAGGTAAGGAATTCAGGTATTCTTTTTCAGATATTCTCAAATGAACTGAATGATGCATGCATAGGAATAAATCTATATAAATGCAGAAACCCCAGAGATACCTATTCCACAGTATATACACCCTTGAGGAAAAATTCTGTCAGATTATGACTATATGATTTGCATGTGAACTATAATTTGCAGCTACCAAATCTTGTATTTTATCTATCCTATTTTCTTGCCTGCTTTATTTCAACATTGAAAATCATGGCTAATCTAGTAACCTTTTGATCATGTATAAGTAGATTTCTTTCTATTTCATTCTATTCTATTATTAAAAATTATGGCACACCCAGTAACATTGTGATCATGAACAATACTCACCTTTTCATTCAGTCTTTCTGCTTCTTTTTGTGCAATTTGAGCTGCAAGTTCTTTATTAACATAGGCTGCCTTAAGTTTTCTCTCCAAATCTCTCAGTTCATGTGAGTTCTCACGTAACTGCTGCCTTTGGAAAATGAACATAAAATTTAGTGGAGTAGAGCTTAGGAAAAAAACATAGATTTTTAGGTTAGGGGAGACTGGAAAGATAGAAATTGTTGGATAGGAGGACCACACATTTCACATCTTATTGATTCACAATATCAATAGTACCTTAGTCTCATTTGTTTGATTTCCTCCCTTTTCACCATATCTAATCCCCTAGCCAAATCATTTTCTCTCATCATGTGTTTCTCTTTGAATGCTGCATTTTCTATTTCTTGCTGAGCTCTCGTTTCCTCTTCATGCTCTCGTCTTTGGATATTCAGGTATCTGTTCAAATTGCAATATTTATTTTTGTTTTCTATATGAGCCCTCACAGATTCAATAGTGTCCCTGTATTTTTCTCTTTCCAACTCCTCTGTAAGGGCCAATTTTTTTTTGTGATTCAATGCCTGAAAATAGATGATGAATGATCTTGAAATTCAGCCCTTATAGCAATTTCACAAACCATCACAGGATAACTCGTTTTTAAAATGATGAAAAATTATTAAAACATTTTGTTTCTGTTTTCAAAAAATGACATGACAGCAATTCAAAATAACACATGACATGACAGCTGATTCTAGAATTACAAATGACATGTGCTTTAATGTCGATTCTTCTTCTTCTACTTTTATAGTCGCTCCCTACTCAACGCCAACTGAAAGTTGAAAATTTAAACTATTTGCCTCGGTTTTTATCAGAGTTTTTTTCGATGTCGGTTTCATATTGGGGAATGTTTGAACTGTACAAAATCGAAAATTTTACTTCTACTTTTGAGTGAAAATAGTGGTCGGAACAATAGTGTATGAACAATTTGTGGTTTGCTGGTGCTGATCTGAGATGATATTACCTTCCCACTTTCAAAGGTACCTAATATTTCATAATATCAAACTTAAAGCCAGAGGAAACAATGTTATAAAGAAACGCCATGACAGCTATATACTTATAATATTTATTTGTTTCACTAGGCAGAAAAGTACAAGATTTAATGCCACGGCTGACGTTTCATAGCCTAGGCAAGGAAACCAGCTAAGGTATTACATCTTCTTCTCTGCCTTGTGAAACATATAATATTTCCTCCAATAATTCTTTTCAATTTCACCCAAAGTCCAAATAATCCATCATTTTTTGTTCACCCATAGTCATTGTCAATTTTGATTACCAATTTGATTCACATTACTTGGAATGTTGCATAGTAACAAAATTTTTCTGCCTAGGCAGTAAAAATACACCTTTTCTGCCTGTTAACTATCATTGAAAAGCCATTTTTAATGTAATTTGAAGAAAAAAGAAATTTTTTGATATTGTTTCATTAGGATTGAATATATCACAATAACAAGAAGCTATACATAATTAGGTTTTTATTCAATTGAAATGTAGATAAATACACTGAATATCTATTTCATGTGTAAAAATTCATAGGTGATTATGACCACAGTATTTTATAGCAGCTGCTTCTATAGACACCTATCAGTCCAAACATTTGTTCATTTTCTTTTCTTCCTAGCTTCATTAGGGTTTTTCCTCATCCAGTGCTTGAATTCTGCTCCAGGTCTTATGCACAGCTGTGCTGATTTAGAGTTAACATCTCTCATTACAAAAGGTGAATATCCTACAACAGAAAAAACATTTTATAGGTTTATATTAGTGATTACTCAGTAATTTAGTGTAATCTATTTATTTTATGGTTTTACTGAAGGGAATTGATATTTTCTCATATAAAACCCAGTGGCAAAGTGCAGCCAAAATTGTGTGCACCAAACTTCAATGTCACAAGGAATTCCAGTTGCTTGTACACCAGAATTTTATTGGACTTGACCCAAGGAATTCCAAGGATTTCCAAGTAATCTCAAGAAAATTCAAGGAAGTTCAAGGAAATCTTTGAAAATCCAGGGCAATCCAAGGAATTCCAAGTGAATCCATGGATTCCAAGGAAATCCTAGGAATTCCAAGAAAATCCCAAGAATTCCAAGGAAATCTAGGGAATTTCAGGTAGATCCAAGGAAATCCAAGGAATTCCAGTTGTTTGTATACCAGAATTTCATTGCATTCTACCACTCATATTTACCAGCAATCCAGTCATCTTCCATTGGATTATTCTTCATCCTTGCAAGCCTACTTGGTTTATTATCAGCCATAGGTTGATCTGCCACAAGTATTGGATTATTTGGGTGCTTTCCTCCCTTGATTCTTGGTAGACTATATTTCTTCCCTCTACCAGTCAGAGGCCTTCTGGTATTTATATGTATCTGCATCTTGCCATTCTCATCTAGGGACACTGCTACCTTTTTCAGAGTGTCATTACCACATTTGGGACAGAATTTTTTGGTCATGATGCTGGTAGTTTTGAAGCAGGCATAGCAGCGTAAAATGTAAGTTCTCAGTTGCTTGATGATACGCCCATCTAAGGCTGATACATTGAGGTTCATCTGCAGCAGAACATTTTGCATGGCAAAATCTGTGGTGATGCATGCCACTGTGACATGCTTTTCTTCCATAAGCTCAGAGTTGACTTGCTTTTTGGCAATACCTACATTGGAAGGAGTGATCCAACCTTCATCATCTCCCTCAGAATCTGAACTTCCAGAAACAGCTTGTTCTTGCACTGGGACCAAAATATTCTCACTATCTTCATCACTCTCATTACCTGATTCTTTAATATCTGATTCATCAGTTGGAACACTATCTAACCCAACTTTTTCTGCATCTGTAGCTTCACCCTGGTTAGGATTTTTGGTTTTACCTGGGAGATAGAAACCAGTAACATCTGGATTGATATCTGGTACTTTATTTTCTGTATTGATCACTTTTTGCATTATTGGCTCAGTTCGAATATGATCTGAACCTACTTTTTCTTTTTCTAGTTGGTAGGTGAGGGCAATGACTTTGATATCAGTTGCTGACAGGCTGGGATAGTCACCAGTTTTCTTTGAAAATTCAGTTACAAATCGTATATTCTCTGAGTTCACATCTTCAACAGCTAAATCATAGGGAAGCACTACTAGCCGTCTGAGTTGTCTCTTGTTTGTAATTTCTGAGACAACTTCTGGACATGTTGTTACTTTTTCTGCTATATCCTGCATTCAAAAATACAAAATATCGTGATTTAATCGCACAGCCTAACACATAGTTAACAGTATAGATCCCCAAAAATGAGGACAAAAATGTCAGTTATTATTACATTGCTTGAACTACATTAACTACAAACCTGTAATTGAGCATTTTGGATGAAAGCTGTAGTATCTACTACAAGATATTCGACCAATTTTTTAGACGTCTGATCCATTTTTGCTATTTACAAAGAGAAAAAACGAAAAAAACACATCTTACATGTCACGAAAACATGTCAAAGAAATAGGTCGCGTGCACGAAGACCGACCCTGGAGGCAAAATATTGAAACACAACCTCATTCTTCTGTGAATTATTGAAACACAACCTCACTCTTCTGTGAATTATTGGAACACAACCTCACTTTTTCATTTGTTCACAGAGGAATCCAAAGGTTGAAATAGTTTTTCACAATATTTTGGCATACGAATCGTGTTTCTTGCGTTATTCATTAATTCAAGCATGCCTTCGCATTGTGCTGTTGTACAATGCACAAAAAATGCAGCAAGAGACTAGGGAATATGATTTTTCAGGTAAATAGTAATCTCACATAGTTAGCATTATGAAATGTTGTCATTCCTTATTAAAATTCCTTCTGCCTTCTGCCACTTCTGCAATACAAGCTAATGCTGCTAATAGATTGAAAATGTCTACAACACACACGATCGTCAGCATGTCAGACCAGTCCTACCGATTGATTGCATGAATCCAATCTTCTTGCATTATTCTAGAAATTTTAGGTATATTTCTATTAGCTGATCCTATTGCAGAAGGAATTCCGATGAGAAATCAGAGAAATAACCAAATTTCAAAAATGAAAACTATGTGAGTGACTATAGTAGGTACTTACTTTTGAATCATAATGTACCATCCGGATTTTTTCATCTTCCGCTGCAGTTTTTGTGCATTTTACAACAGCACAATGTGATGGCATTAGCGAATTGATGAATAGTGAAAAAATACGATTCATATGCCAAAATAATTAAGGAAAACTATTTCGATCACTTGTAAACAAATATGTTTTGCCTCCAGGGTCGGTCATCTGACAGTTCTTGCACGCGACCTATTGAGGTTAGTAAATCGAGTTTTCAGGTTAATAAGTGAAATATATTTCTTCCCTTTTTATGTTCGTTGTTCTTATGTACAGTACACCAAATTCGTCTTCCCGATTTTTTTCTGTACCTGACACATTCTAGGAAATTTATAAAGATGGTGTAAGCACTGTCAGAGAGTTAATAGTCCATGGGTAAGCCCCTCAATAAATGAAGAATGGTTGACAGGCGCTTTACTTCAAATCACAAAGGTTTTCATGAAAAAATAATATACCTCAAAGGGTTTGTGAAAAAAGCAATACCTACCTCTGAAATTCTTATCTCATTTTATATAGATTCGAGGTTATCAGTTAAGATAGTTTTTCATGATAAACTCTTATTTGCGCAATTATTTTTGAAATCTGAAGGAAAAGTAACTTTCAACAATAAATAACAGTCATCCTACTTGCTCAAACTTTTCCACTAAATATTTGGACAATTCAAGAAATTGCACACAAAGGTCAAATTTCAATTCTCCAATGGGTTTTGATAGTTATTTATGTATCAAGGGCGTAAAATAGGCTTTCATGGATCGTTGATTTCACATCTCTCAAGAACGATAGAAATATACATATCATGGTTGCAGTGTGAGATATCATTGATGGAATCAACGTTGACTTCACCATGGGGTAACTCAGTAACGTACGTGAAAATAAAAAATAAAATTTCCAAAAATTCTTTTTTGAACACTATAGACAATTTTGAACATTTCCAAAGGCCGTGTCTCCTTCAGTTTCCTCATGCTGTGCAACCATATCTTGGTCACACTATTTTCGTCGGTCAATCAATCTACTGGAAAACTCCTGAATACTTCCCTATGGGTGAAAAAATAATAAGAAACACATTATATACGTTATATTTAACTTTATTAATTTATAATTCTTTTATAAAGTTTCATATGAACTGGATAGCTTTCCTAAATGAATCCAAGCCAATTAATAACTTTCAATCTTAGTGTACTAAATTCAAAATTCATATTTATATATAAGTTGTAAACATTTGAGTTGGATTCATATTGGAAAAAGTTAGTAATAATAAATGTAATAATAATAATAATAATGATAATGATGATAATAAATAGTGACATGACATCTTTAGAAAAGACTTGTAATAAGTATACACATTAGATTATATTGAAGTTTACTTTTGAGCATTTTGAGTACGCTCTGAATAGACTGTCATGTCATGATACATGGTAATCCGTATGATCTGAAATATGTAGAGAATTCAATATTATTATCGTTAAAAGTATATTATATAGGTATATTTCTTATAGTACATGATGTATGAATTTTCGTGAATTCAATTTCATGGACTAATAGGTATATAGAAATTCTTCGACATGTTTCAGAATCAAGGGTCGGATTGAAAAAACCTGTCTTAAGTAATTATACAATGGCTTTTTATATAATACAATATTCAAATATCCCGATTTTTTTTTTGTTACTGTAAAACTAATGACTTCTCATTGGCATTTACTGTATGAACTATTAAACACCAGCAAAATTGACAGTGTAAAAAAAATATTATAATTTCATACTTGCATGGATCGAAAGTGTCACGCATTCATTTGTCTAATTTACTCATATGTTTTTACAATATCATATTACAAGTTATTCAGCGGGTTATAAATATTTTTTATTCAAATTATCTACTATTATAATTATTATATAATATATTGTTGATAATTTCATTCATAATTAGTTTGTGTAAAATGTAATAAAACTTGACATGCAACGGAGTATATGGCTATACAACCTTAAAATTGATGACAAATGATGATATGGCAGGTACTCGCACCTTTTAGTTCTGCTCTTAGTAGATAAATACACGCGAAAAATCTCTAATACTGTATTCAAGCATGTGAAATATATTAAATTCCTCGTATGTAGAAGCATGAGGATAATATATCGTTATGTAAACGAGGTCCTAACTCTAACTAGAGTACAAATAAATAGTAGAATAAATTAAACGTCTGTTAACTGACTAGAAAAAAACAGTTCACCATTTTGCATTTTTGGTCCTAGCATTCTAAAGACGGTTTGACGAAATCAGTAAGTCACAAGTGTGAGGATTTATGACACGTTCAGTGTAGGCGTTTTCTGATGGCGAAATCAGCAATAAATCGATGATGAGTCGAAATATACATATTTCAACAGTGATTTTCAGCTTCATCTGATTGAATGATTGACATCTATCAGGAAAGCCGAAATTACATCAAAACTGTTTACCACACTCGTCGCAATGAAAGATATACACTGAGTGGCTAATTTCTTTTCCAGAATAGATGTGTGGTGGAATGATACATGCAGTTTAGGGTATGTGTGGTGGAATGATACATGCAGTGCAGGGCATGTTTGTACTTAATTGTCTCTAAATGTAAATTTCTAGGCCCGGGCGATTTTCCTATTATCATTATCAATATTTAAGGAAGCTTATTGTGTGTGCATATGAAGTCATTACCAGTTGAATTTTGATTTCTCCTTCACTAAATCATGGAAATGAATTTGATAGTAATAACTATATTTGGGTTTGGATAATTTCTCAGTTAGTCGTAGCTCATTCATGGGTGTATCTGTGATTGCCTCAAGTATAATCATGGACTAGAGGGCAGGGCTTTGACGTGGGTCTCACCAATAAATTATTGCCTACTTCGCTGCCAGAAAACCTTTAAACACCTACATATAATAAAGCATAAAAAATAACATCAGGTAACAATTCTTTGGCGAAAAACTGAGACAGTAGAAAATCTAACAACAACTAAGTTGGAACCCTTATTTTGGCATTTAATTCAAATGTGCAGGGTATATATCTCATCAGTTCTTTTTTGATTTTTCAACGTGAATCTTCATTAGATATAAGTGATGGGAGATGAGAAGTGTGGTATCCACAGAAATAGATTAGTAATTGTAATTCAAATATCATTATTTCTCCTCGATTCTGCATATTTCGTTCTAAATTGAAGATGAATATATTATATTATTTACAGAGAAATAAAATCGAGAACTAACTCTCCCATCACTAAATTATACTTGATAGTATGTTTCTATGTTGTTTATTAGATTTCAGTTCCAAAAGAATAAGGCAGTTTATGATTCATGAATTAGTGCGTATTGTATAACAATATTATTGTATTTCAAATCCTCGAAAGCTAGGCGAGAAGGTCGTTGCCATAAAAATTCTTTTTGATTAGAAAGGTACGGGTAGTTCATCGAAGAAGCTGCCTACATAACTAAAACTATAACTGTCTGAGATCATCAATGACTAGAATGGTTCAAACATTTGTGACTTGACTCGTTTTCAACACCTATATCCGTATGAGTACCTCGAACGATCTTATTGTGTCCGTTGTTAGTTTGTATAGAGTGCCATACACACGTCTTCCACCTTTAATCATTATACCTAAAAGACCTATTTCTACTCGTAGCTAACAATAATGATGATAATGAATTGGGTCGAACAGAAGCGCTGCTGATCCTGAATGTTTTAGCTTCTAAATTTATCAAAAGTTGTTTTCTTTTATTTCACTGGAGACAGGTACGCTTGTCCGTGACAGAAAAAGGACCAATACATTTGTATAAAACGGTGCATTGAATGGACCCCAATATATTTACAGCATGGGATGAGATGGGTACAGGCTGTTCGAATCACCAAAATATCTGAACGATGGATTCATTTCCAACTCGCGTTAAACTTGTGAAACGAAATGTTTTATGTCCCAAAGGCATGTAAAAAAATTATATTTATCGAACGGCACCTGTGCCGATCACTAATTCTGTGCAAAGTGATCGGAAATTGGAATCACGGCAGCAAATAAATCGCTGTGCCAAGAATTTGACTCGAGTAATGCACAGGTAGCGTTGTGAGATTGGATGACATAATTCCTATCTATGTATCAAATCGCGAAATTGAGTGCGGATCATCGCACAGGAAAGTGCAATTTTTCAATCATTTTCTTCGTTATCCGATAAGACGGTTGAAATTTGCAGCCAGCTCTCCGACTAACCGTTCATTCTATCGTGTGGATGGGTTAATGTGCTTCTCTTCCACGCGCCGTTCGTTTTTATGTTCGGTACAGGTGGGCGGAGTTTGAGAGTAGTGGGAGGTGTTGATGAAGGATTGTAGGGGAAGTATTTAAGGACGAACGCGGATCGCGCAGTGCTCAGATCGTCTGAAATCAGAAGACCGTTCGGACGAGATTAGGGCTCAATCCGTTCTGATGATTCGAACAACCTGTTTGGCGAGACGACGACTCGCATTCGGAAGCGGAAATAAATGCCGCCCCGCAAGATGAAGAAACAGTTACACAAATAGTTGCAAAAACATACCCTGTATCCTTGAATCACGTCGCTGCATTTAGACATTACATTATTTCTGTTCTCATCTAATTGGGGTGACCGCGTTTTTTTTTGTGTTAGTCATAGATGTCGGGAGCTGTCACTCTCCCACTCGGTCTGGTTAGTACTAAGAAAATAGTATTTTTTTTTAATTCCAGCGCCATAGGAATGTCATTAGCAAGCGTGGAATGCACTATTACTAAAGAAAAGAAAGCGTTTCATTCTAATGAACAATAGTTTTACTCGCTTAGTACAAAAAATTACGATTCCGATTTTGAACAAAAGATCGTGTACTCATTTGACGATTGTAATTGGGTACCTTTTGCCTTCTCATTTAATTGAAATGATTATTGTCTGTTACTTTGATAATTTTATACAAAGTGCTCCTCTATTTTTCACCTTGCCTAATCTTTTATTTATCTGTACATTGAATTGTTATCATTTTTGAAATTGAAATTCCAGAGTTGATGAAGACAAAAATTGTTTGTAAATTGAAGCAATTTGGCACTGAATACTCAATACTCACATTTGTTCAACAACGATGATACGAATTCAATAGCCAAATAAGTACTATCCTTTTTGACCATCGCGATGAATCAAAAATTTCTATAAGAATACCTACCTAAGAAACTATGTGTTCACACAAGTTTTTGTAGAACATCAAAATCAATAAAAGTACGGTTCCATCTAAAGATGTATCAGTCAATCTGTTAATATTGCACGATAGTTTCAACCAATCGAAGAATAAATAAAATAAATATATAAATAGAGAAATAAATAAATAAAAATGTAAAATGTGTATCTGCATACATTAGATGTAATAAATATTTATATATGTTCACTAAATATATGTCTTAAGATTAAAGCAGATGATAGCACTGGTAATTCTTCTTGTGAGAATATTCGGAAACGTCTATCCCTCATAGTGGAAAACAAATTTCTAATGAGAATGTGGAAGAATGAATTTAAATGAATACAATATTATTTTTAGAGAGCAGAATTCATGAATAGTGAACTAAACAATGGGTAGATCGAAGTTCAAGAAGATTTAGCGGAGCTATCCTCCGAGGACTAAATTAATTCTAATCATATTAACTAATTTGCAGCCGAAGGCTTGATATAATTTGACTAGAGTGGCCCAGCCGAGTTTTGCTTCATCCACTCTTCCTCCGGACTGGGACTTTTTTGTCCGGCAAAGCATAAACTAACTTGTCAACAACTATTTTGGCGAAAACGCACAACTTGCATTTTGATATATTAATCAACTCACTTACATTTGATAAAATTCATAAATCTCGAACGTATATTGTTCTAAAATCGATAAAGACGGCTGCATACCTCCACGGTGACTCGCCACTTCTTGGTTTCTCATTTTTGTCTAGCCTAAGTCGCTACGCCTACTAATTTACAGATTAATATATAGTTGGTACTTTTTAAAGATTATGTTACTTAAAGTTTAGTAGAAATATTATACTATATTTTTGTATAGGTATTGTTAAATAAATATTTGTATAAATATTGTGTCATTGGGTCTCTTACAATTCAAAAAATAATAGAGCCCAGACCACGTGACTCCGAAAGATCATTTCGAACGGCATTCGTATGTTTAAATTCGGTCGACTCAGTATTAACAATATTATCAACAATGCATCGTCGTCCCAATCGTATACCTCAATCAAGAAAGCAATCAACAATAATAGCATCGTATCAACTCATCTGTATCCTTCCTATGGTTCCATACCATTCCAAATGGAAACATCATCCATCTGCTCTCACAAATTCTCTTTTCTTTTTGGTGGACGTTTCAGGACATCATCAACATTTCTAAGAGTTTCTCAAAGTACCGATGTAGTAGTCTGTTATATTTTCAACTATTAATAAATTTTTTGTGAATGCTGATTTTTGGGCTAGGGTCAACTTTTCAACAATAAAGAGACCCTAACGAACCTATAACGAATTTTTCGAGTATATTTGGACATGCCTTCACTTGTAGTAATTTCTAAAATACGGCTGAAGATGGACTTTTATAAGTTCGAAACATGTCCCGTTGATCAACTACATCATGATTGAAGTTGTGGAGATGACTTTGAGCTTTCCTTACTCCTTTTAAAAGGAAAAATATTGAAAAATCGACAATGAATCGCCAATAATATAAAATTTTTACGATGTTTATTGTCATTGTCAATTTTTAAACAGTCAAACCGGGACTAAACAATATCAAAAATTTTTGTTGAACATCAATTTCCAATGATCATAGTCCTGTTATTATTGAGATTTGAATAAAATAGAATTTTCGGAACTTGCATAGTTTGTTGGGGCATAAGTCACTCGATAAGTCATATGAAAAAAAAATTCTGAAAAACTGAAATGAAATAAATTTCCAAGGATGCATTTGATGGAATTTGGAACGGATGGATAACTTTTGAACTTGGAGGTAACCGATCATCACTGAGTTGTAAAGAAAGCAGTACGAAATGAACCTTGCGGTACACGTTCCCCTAAAGAATAAAACTCCGAGCAGCTGTGACGAGCAACGCATCATCACAGGAGACACGCCCGGACTGATTTGGCAACAGGGCAGACGGACGCACCACCACCCCTAGAGATTTTTTTTACATATTATTCAATTACAGTTAACACACACATTTACTTACAACGAATATAGAACAGTTTCAAAATAAATACACATTATATGTCACGTTACGAGAATACAAAACGGCCTGTACAATCAAACACTGATTTGTTATTTAATCACAGCCCATTTGGAATTTCTCGGGGGGTAGGAAACGGTTTGGTGGCGCCACCGTACTGCAAAATGACAAGTTCAACCAGTGAGAGAACGATGGCGAAACCATATTTCGAGATAGCATTTTTGGACCAATCAGAAACATTCTAGCTATGACGGTATATGTTCAACGGAGCTCCTTTTTACTGACACCCAGTATGCTGAAAATAATCCGGCACGAAGGACCACTGTTGAAATTTTTGTTCTTCTCTTGACTATTCAATATCGTCTTGTAAATGTCAATGACAGATTTCTGATTCTGACATCAATTCAATTCAATTTCCACCTAATGTCTTTCACCATAACATATACATGGTATTCATAAAATGAATTACCACTGTATGAGTAGCGACTGAAAAAATGCAGCTGATGATTTCATTGATGCGCCAGTACCATAAACATTTTTAATTTTCCCTCAAGTCGACTATTGTGGATGAGCGAATGATGATGATGTTCTTCTTCGGTCAACATATCAGCTGAGAAGTGGAAAAAGAGTTGATGATATTTTTATTTGACGTGAAATATATTAGGTTTGCACACTAGACAAATTGTGAATACTTCAATGTCAAGGAAGAATACTATCTCTAATCCACTGCAATAGGTAGAATCGTTCTGATTGGTCTGAAAATATGTCCATAGCAAAAGTCATGGTTGTTTGAACTCTTGCACCAATGACGAAACGATCCTCGAAATAATAAGAATCTACCAAGAAATCACCCACTCGTACTTTTTCCTTCGATTCGAAACAAAGATCCCCATCGAATTTCGCTCATCAGTGGAACTTTGGCGCTCGGAGTAATGCCGGACGCGTTCGCATGGTAAAACTAAGTGTTTCATATAATATAATAATTTATAGTGTATACTAATGGCGGATGAGTACCCTGATCTGGGGCACCCATAGGTCTGAGGGCCAAGGTTAGTAGGGCCTACTGGCGTCCTTGGGCCTCTTCAGCTGGACCTTGAGGCGCTTCATCCCGATCTGGAAGCCGTTCATCGCTTGGATGGCGGCCTGAGCACTCGCGGGGTTGTCGAATGATACGAACCCTACGAAATCAAAATAATAGTTAACGAAAAATGGAGTAATACTATCGTGGATTCATGCTTTCTTGATTTTCTTGATCGAATATTGAATAATTACTCGTGACAAGTCGACTGGAAGCTAAACGAGATTAGTAGTAAACCTATGGGGATACCAGCTCAAGCCTGTCCTTGACCTAGAATCGGCATAGGGGCACTACATTTTTAACCAGCTTCTATTCAATTGATTTTGATATCAATTCTTAGTCATTTATTCATTAGCTATCGATATACATTTTCATTTGACATGGATATAATGAAAACTCTGCTCGTGAATGATATAACTGGTATTGCTTCTTCTTCTCTGTACTGATGATGAATGTGGATATTTGTGGTACATCACAAACCAAGACAACTTTACCAAATCGAATACGTCGGAGTTCATATACGCCATTAATAAAATATAAAATAATACTATCGTCATTTCATAAGAACTTCCTAAGTTTCTTTATTGAATATTCAAAATAATCATTAGAAATACATTAAATTGAAACAAAATTAAATATTGAGCTGGTATCGGTATTAAATTCAACTAGTTTCTATTCAACTGAATTCGATATCAATTCGTTGGCATTCTTCCATCAGCTATTCACATATTTTTTTCCTTTTGACATCGATATTATAATGATTCTACTAGAGAATAATATAATTAGTATCGCTTCATCCTCTTTGTATCGATGAAAACTGTGGATATTTTGTTCCATGGGTGGTGTACATCACAAACAAAATAGGTCTTTTGACAATGAGAATGATTGATTGAATACATTTCCATGAATTATTGAATTGAAATAAATCAAACATTCAGGGTTTTTCATAGTTCACATGCAGTAATGGGAATTGGTATAAAATCAACACTATTATTGGTTATTTTCATAATTTTAAAATTTGAAAAAAAATTCATCTTGACTTATAATAGGTACGCACCGAAACATTTGCTCTGATTTGTGGCACGGTCGATAAAAACTTTGGAGCTGATGACGTTTCCGAACGGTAGAAACATCTGCATCAGCTCAGCGTCTCCGAATTCTTGGGGCAAGTGATAAATGAACAGGTTACATCCTTCAGGACCCGATATTGAACATCCTGTAGGAATAAGAAAAAAAAATATGAGTGATTTTCTTAAAAATCTGTTTATTCCAGTTCAGAGTCATTGTTAGCTCTATTTCAGTAATGCAATGGAAGGTTACCGTAAACAAAATTTCTGGAAACAAATTATTTGTGAAAATCTTTGGAGACAATTTGAGATATAAATTACATTTTTGAAAATATTCGGCTAACGATGATGCTGCCACATCAGATGAAATAAATATCTATAATAAATATCTTGAACCATATTTCGGGATCTGAATATTTATTTCTTCTAATGCTTTTTGTTTTTTACACAAAACATATAAGCGATCAGGGCAACTGTAACACAATGCATTGACATAACACTTAACAGAGAACACAAAGATATATGCAACATTTGATCATGAAAAAATATCAGCTTTAGCATACTGATACTATAAAAGGTGTTGCCAGAATCGTTTTCAAATATTTATAGGTTTGCATGTCACAACATTCCGAACGTTCATTTTTTCAGACCAAAATGCAAAACGGTGGTTTTCAAATAAATAATTTCTGTCATATATTTTGCACCTTCTCATAATATATTATAACAAAAAATAAATGATTGCACATGTCAGCACAAAATATCTTCTGTTTGTTTCAATGATGAAATGTTTTTAGGTGCAGTGTCTGTTTTGATGTTTTGATCTGGAAAATCGGAACGAACGGAATTCTTCGCTGAAATTTGATGTTTTTAACAATGTTATTGATTCTTACCTTCTCTTTGTGCAGGTGCCACTGCTGACATCGGTTGTGGTATAGCCTGAGGGAATTGACCATAAACGGCGGGGTAAGCTGCTGACAAATATAAACAAATCACACCAATACTTTTCCACCGATGCAATATTCATCATGCGTGAATTTTTAATCTTATATGGAACATCAAGTTTCTTTCAAGCGAATTCAATAGTGAATCTACTAAATTTTATACTAGATTATTCACTATGGAATACTATACATGAAGTAACTTGATGATGATTTTCTATGGTGAATGATGAACTTGAGGCCAAACATTCATAATACGTACCAACTCGCATATATATTATTGATTATTCATCTATTCGTCATTGGAAGCTACATTTATATTAATGATAAGAATCTTATCATGCACTAATCAATCCACAACCCAAAATTTTGGTAATATGTCATGTAAATCGTTAAGGTTTCCGAGTCACGCGAGCCTGTACTTCCTCTGATACTTATCACCTTTCCTTTGTTTATGTAACGTTTCCCCAACATCATTTTGTTGACGTCATAAATTAATCTCGCTGCTTATGTAAATGCAATCCAAACAAATTGTAATTTGATTTGCTACACTCATTTAACTTTCATCGAGCAATGAATAGAATGGAAAAGCTGCTATATCAAATTCTTCCATGAATGAAGTTGAAATAAAAAAAAATGCTACCTAATATAAATTTCTATACATCTACTCATGGCTTTTTCCATACAGTTCAATTTCTATTTTTAGTTTTTTTTTAATAAAATAAGCCAATGAAAAGGAATGGAAGGATGATGAATTCTCTAATTTTCATTTGATATTTCTCTCTCTATCGTAGGTATGAATATGTACAATTCCACAAACTTCACTCTGTATAGTATATTTCTGAGGCCGAAAGGCTAAGTATATGTAGCGACAACATCTAACATAAAATTCCTCAGACATCGAAACACTTAGTGAAAAATCAAGCTTACATTGAAATAGATATAATGGTACACCTTTGAAACACACATTCATCTAAGAATATTGATTCATGAAGATGTATCGAACAAGAACCCAATTCGAGTGTTGACTATTTTGTGAAGTTTCAGATTATTAATTTTACAATGCGATGTACACAAAATATTTGATAATTTCTTATAAGGCTGACTAACAGAAAACGCCCTAAGGCCATTGCGCCGGTATTTATTATCTGATTTTAAAAAACAAAAATGCAAATCAGATATCTATATCTATTCAATTTCAAATCTGACGATTGTCAACTTTTTTCCAAATGGCATGATTTTTGTTCTGGTAGAGATTTTGTTTCTAAATACAATGATAAATAACAAGTTGAATTTCGAGCAAAATTAGTTGAAAAAAAAAAGTGAGCTCCGTCGACAAGAAATGGATCATTCATAACTTTTCCTAGTTTGTAGTTTCCTAAGAAAGTCATTTGTTTTCAATAAATCATTAATTCATTCACAATATTATAATGTCTTTTTTCTATAAGGAATGGAGTCAATCTTCAATGACTCGATAGAAAATTGGATGGAAAGATCAATTTCTTGTCGAAGGTGCATACATTTTTTTCAACGGATTCAGCGAAAAAACAATTTTTTCTTCATCATTGTATTCACAAAAAAATCTAATCTAATTGAAAAAAAAAATGTTACTACCACCTTGAAGTATCTGATTTGATTTGCATTTTTGTTTTGAAATAACGGCGCTATGGCTTGGAGCATGTTTTGTCAGTCAGCCTAAAAATATGTACACAGGTGTATTGGAAAAGTGAGAGAATCTATAGTGAATATCGCAAATCATGATATCACAATAGCTATCATAATATCATTACATACATATTCTCGACGTAGCCATTTCTGTTCCAATTTCCTTGACAGTCTATGATATTTTGTATATTTCATTGAAGATGTCATATTCAGATGATATTAATTATTCACACATTCATTTACAATCACATATGGTTGGATAAATTCAAAGAATATGTTTATTTCTCCAATTTAGTGGCTTGTTTACTGATGGTCATCCCGTATTCAAAGCTATGTCGAAAAAGTTCTATTTTAAAATTCTGCACCAGCGTAGTAGCCAGATAAGAACCACCTGCAATACTTCGTGTTTATCATGAATTGAGTTGGGAATCGCCGATAAATCTGTGCTTCGTTCAGAACACTGCCTTGAGTGTGTTGTGTCGTATTGTATTGTGCTCTGCAAAAATGAAATATTTATATCCCGCCTGTTTCCGACCAGCGTGGTGTGACAGATTCGAAGAAAAAACCTCAAATCGGGTTCCTGTTTGATCACTCTTCATCGTTCAAGAAACGGTAAAGGATAGACTTACCCACTCCCGGATATGCCGGTTGCATCCCCTGGTAAGCGGGGTGTTGTATCGCTGCCTCCCCATTGGGTAGACCTTGTGCGGGGATGGACAGGTGCAGCGCGTCTGAAACGTTTCGGAACTATCATCTTCAAGTACATTTTTGCTAGAAAAATCGGTGATATCACGAGTATGTGATGTGAGATTGCAGATCATGACGATTGAAAGTATTTTTTTTATGGAAATAGCCAAGTAGGATCAAAAAACGTATTTATTATCATTTAATAACATGTCAAAATATAAAGTTTCAATCAAACAATTTATATTTTAGTATAAGAATGAAAATATATTGGAAATGTTTCAATAATGAATGCACCATAAAAAAAAATGAATGAACAAAAAAAAATAGGAATTGAAAAAAATTGCTGAAATCTCTAGCTTCTCTTTCTCACAATAAATCCCAGCATATACATAATTTCTTCACCTCTCGCGTTCGCTATATATTCCTAAAGTTGTCGTTTTTTCTATCTTTTTTATCTTTTTATCTCAATTCTTGAATCTTTATGAACAGACCAATTTCACGATCTGTTCGCTTATATCAAATTCATCCATAGACCACTAAAAAATAACGTATACTACGATACAAGCATCTCGATTGCTTAGGTAGATTACTCGTTTTTGAAGTGGAATCATAATGTCAACATTATATCAACATTTTCTGTAACTTATGGTATCTGAATGAATCTGAATCTGAAATCTAAATACAGGGTGATTCATAGATTTGGTCAAAAAATTCTTGTTATCGTACTTTATTTCTCACAGCTACTTTTAATCAATCAACTGCAGCACTTCTATTCGAAATGGCATTTTACTTCAATTTCAAATCTCGAAGAAAGTTTGAGTAAACGTATTTCCAAAATACCATATGAAAATTTGCTGGGTCAATTCTTTGATAATAAAACTTGTTACCAAAGTCCTGGATTTTCTCAATATCATATGTCAGTCAAATGACAAGAAGTGGCTTAATGTTTCATGAAAAAACGAGACGAATCGAAGAAATTGTGGAAATATTCACACGAGATACAATTTTCTACTTTTGATTACTCAAGACTCACCCTGTATGAGATCTCTCGCCACTTGGAAATATTCAAATTGAGATGCTTTATTCGAATGAACAAGCTTTTATTGAATAGCTTAGAAGCTAATGGGCAATGAAAACTAAAACTATAAGAATTTTGAAATGATGCCAGTTAGTTTTCAAATTTATGGTTGAAATTTGATAATTTGGTGGATGCGTTGTGTTAAAATTTTTGTGTATCCGAACAGTGTGACACTGGTGCCTGTGAAAAATTAGGATCTCACGTAATTTGGTGAAGGCGAATTTGAATTTATGGTGGAAACAAACTCTACTTTTTGGTGGATGGTAAACCTCTTCGTTAGAAGTTTCACTAATGGTTGGGAACGAAAGAAAGTGCTTGTATCAAGAGTTATAACGGAATAATGCCCTAGATTTTGATTATTTGTCCACCACAAAATGAACGTGATGGACAGATAATGAAAAATGAAAGCTACTGAAATCATTGAATGCCATAATATTTGATCCCGAAATTAATCGAATAGTTTATATTTTAGTTCATGACAATATCTCACATTTTGTATTTTGCGATAGTTTACATTGTGGTGTATACGTCTGATGGTGTTTCAATTTTGATATGTTGATAATGTTGATGAATCTTTGGTCGATTAAATTCAACCTTACCCCATATTCCATTACTCAATCAGATCATTCTACATGTTTCGAGCCCATACAGGCTCATCCTCAGTGAATAGTGAAAAATCTACAACGTTATATGGAGTCTTACTAAAATTTATTCACTTGATCATGTAGTTATTCAAGTACAATTTTTTCTTCTTCTCCAAGTAAGTAGCTACCTACTTCTAAGTATTGAATAATGTAACTTTTCGTAATGTTGTAGAATTTTCACTATCCTCTGGGGAATAGTCTATATGGGCTCGAAACATGTACGATGATCTGATTGCGTAATTTGATCACTATTGAAATTGTGGTGACGATTTTGTGTTTTTGATCCCTGGTACTTTCATTCTTGTTTTGGAATCCTGCAGTACATAGACATTTCATGACAACATTGTAGGAAAATTCAGATGTTTTTATACTCACGTGCTTGATAAGTTTGAGGGGGGATGCCGTTCGTGTACACTTGCTCTTGACCTCCTGGTTGGCCGTTGGGGGTTTGCGCCGCCATATTGAAAGTTGGCATGGTGGGTGAGGGTAGACTGGGTATTGTGCCGTTCACGGGTTGACCGTTACCTTGACCACCGGGTACATCTGGAAAACAAAAAAAAAAGATTGAAGATTTCGGGTTTGAAAGGTTTTTTTTTTTCAATTGACTCGGCCGTTACTTGATGGAAATCCATAACAAATGTAAAAACTCCACAAACGATAAGATTTCCACAAAATTCTCAAACACAGTAGCTTCGTCAGGTGATATACTGATACTATGAAACAGGGTTGGCATGAATTAATTGATATGAATTAAAACAGTGATTCAATTCGTGAAAAGTCATGAATTCATTCAAATTTTTGAAAATGAGACAAATTGCACTATATTACCTTTGATTTTAACTAGTTTAAACTGAAAAATTCGATCGTATTTTGGCAAGACTTTGTTATTTCAAGCATAACAGAGATTTTTACTAACAGATATATATATACAGTATCAAGTATCATCCATGAAGTCCATAACATATGAGAACAGGTTTATTATCACAGCATCGAATTTTTTTCTCTCGGCGATCCATTATGCATATCCGGTAACTTGAAAATCGATTTTGACACATGTCACGTGATCACTGGTATGGTGATGAATAAAAATAATACTATATAGCTATATATTTTCGAATATTCTTCAATTTTGTTACAATTCTCTTTTTTTTTCTAACAGTAGTGATGTTGATGATGTACAAGTTGAATAGAATTCAATTTCATATGCTCACATATGGAGTTTCCAGCCATTATTTGAGAGAACTGAAAAAAGCTATTTTCATTTTTTTTAAAATAATTTCATCTTCCCATCTAACCCCACTTTTTGCCATCGTAATTTTTTGAATTTACCGCCTACAAGTGTTCAAGTGACATGTGTCAAAAACGACTTTTTAGTAGTCAGACATGCATAATAGATCGCCGAGAAAAAATGTTTCAATATTCTACCAGGTAATAAACTTTTTCTCCATGTGTTACGAACTTTATGGATGATACTGGATCTATATGTATCTATTATTTTGTATTTTGAAAAAATTACATGTAATATTATGATGTTATTCTACAAGATTTCGCTTTGGGTAAATGAAATTTGTTTTTTTTTTCAAATGAATTAATTCAAAAAAGTCTGACTCAATTCGAAAAGTCGGACTTTGATGACTTTTTTATAAAAGTCACGACTTATTCCAACCCTGCTATGAAATCAAATGCATGTCTTGTGTTTGAGAATTTTGTGGAAATCTTATCGTTTGTGAAGTTTTTACACAACGTTGTGTTTGTTTTCTTTATTTTATTCGGAGCGGATGAAATACTAATTCGATCAAACCTTCTTCATGAATTTTGGGAATGAAGATTGTTTCATCGTTGTGAGAGACTCAGTGATGCCATAGATGGTATTCAATTTGATGGAGAAGTATTGTTAAAACCCTTTCAGTCACGACTTTTCATTTTTTCAGTTGAAAATTTTTCGTGAAATTGGGGGTTGAAGTGATTTTTTATATGATTTTTGAGAATTTTTTGAAGTCCGTACGGCCTTGATTTTTCTAAAAAAAATCATGTTCGTTTCAACGAACATGGTGACTCTACGAGAAGGAGAGGAAATAAATAGCTACAACATTGTGGTTTATTTCATATGGTAATCCTTGAAATAATTACGATCACGAGTAATACATAGATGTACACTACATTTCATACAATAAAAATGTGTTTTTTCGAGGCAAGCTCCATTTTTGCACTTTGCTCCATCCCCACTTCCATCAAATATTGGTAAATGGCACACTTCATCGAGTCACCATGTTCGTTCTAACGTACATATGATTTTTCTCGAATTAGTGTATGAAAAAATATGATATTCGATCATTTCGTTTTTTATATATTATAATGAACATATGAGGCATTGAAAAATGAATTTTTGAACTCAAATTCACTTACTATTTTATCAAAACAAACACGAGAAATGTGTTTATGAACAATAACAGCTGACTCACTGTACACACAGAAGGTAAATAAGCGAAACTTGTATAATATCCCGAGAGATAGTGCTACCTATATCAGTCATTGGATATAAAGGTCCCTCGCGTCTGATGTGGTGTATAAATGGAATGATAGGTGTCGCCTCAATTTACTATTGGCACGAAAAGTACATTTTCGTTTTAACGACCATGGTGACCGAAAGGGTTAATATTTTGATGCATTACAGTTTGAATAATGGTGAGTGCGCGTATGGATTTGATGGACGCACTTTGTTGAAGTTTTGGTGGACGCGCCTTGTGTATTCGAGTAGAGTTTGGTGGATGTGATAAATAAAGATCTCCCATAATTTGGCGAAGGAGAATTTCGATTATGGTGGAGACATCAGTGATGCCATAGATGGTTTTCAATTTTATGGACTGTTGATATTTTGGTGCATTACAGTTTGAATAATGGTGAGTGCGCGTATACAGTGTGTCCCACTTACCATGGGTATCTTTTTAACGGTGAGAGATACGAGGTCGGTTAAATGACACCAAATTTGGAGTTTGTCAGGGCCAACTATAATGTGAAAAAACATTTTGATAAAATCTTCGTTTTTGTTTTATACGCAAAAAACAGATTTTGATCATCTTCATGTCTCCTCCGTAACTTCTTTATTTATGAAAATATTCAAATAGGAATTTCACATTCTCATGACAGTTTTTCAAAGTGATTTCGAAAAAAATATGAAAATACCAACTCTTCTAGAATTTGAGATAACAGCATCAACTTCAGTTTTTCAAATGTAGGTCATAGCTCACTATGACTTAGTTACAAATAACTTTTTTTTCTCTTCCAGATGATATGTCGCAGTTATAGTTTTGTGTTGATAACAACGGGATTATCGTCATTTATACAAGAACAAAAAATTATTTGGAAGCCGCCATCTTGAATTCATAATTTTAACAAAAAAATCATGATCTCCGACCTCAAAAACCACCACTTACCAATTTTGAATGGAATTGGACCAAATCTTGTCCGCCATTTTGGAGCAGCCATTTTTTTCAATTTCAACAAAAATTCCATAACTCCGATTAAGTTGAAATTTGACAGGTGTTCATAATTTCGGTGACAATACATTATGGAATTTTTGTTGAAATTAAAAAAACTGGCTGCTCCAAGATGGCGGACAAGATTTGGTCCGATTCCATTCAAAATTGGTGAATGGGGTATTTGAGGTCGGAGATCATGATTTTTTTGTTAAAATTTGCGGCATATCATCTGGAAGAGAAAAAAAAGTTATTTGTAACTAAGTCATAGTGAGCTATCACCTACATTTGAAAAACTGAAGTTGGTGCTGATATCTCAAATTCTAGAAGAGTTGGTATAAATTTCATATTTTTTTCGAAATCACTTTGAAAAACTGCCATGAGAATGGGAAATTCTTATTTGAATATTTTCATGAATAAAGAAGTTACGGAGGAGACATAAAAATGACCAAAATCTGTTTTTTGCGTATGAAACAAAAACGAATAGATTATATCAAATTTTTTTTTCACATTATAGTTGGCCCTGACAAACTCCACATTTGGTGTCATTTAACCGACCTCGCATCTCTCACCGTTTGAAAGATACCCATGGTGAGCATGGTAAGTGGGACACACTGTATATTTGGTGGACGCGGTTTGTTGACGATTTGGTGTATTCGAATAGAGATTCTGGTGGATGTGATAAATAAAGATCTCCCATGATTTCGCGAAGGAGAATTCCGATAATGCTGGAGACAAATTTCAAACTTGGTTATCTATGAGCATGAAAAACTTGGATTCGATCAAGCCTACATTATGAATTATGAGAATGAATATTTCATCAGAGATAGCGATAGGTGAACATTCAATATCAAAATAATATTAATTCCAAAGAACCTATATATTTTCACATTTTGTTCGGGATATTCCCCTTTTTATTACGAATATAACAGGGAGATAGGTCTAGCTGTCACACTTTTCGAGAAAAATTTTCATCTAATTTGACAAACTCATAGTTAGTGTCGTCATCATCAGAAAAGCAAATGCAAACGCTTCGGTTTCAATGATTCATGATCAGATTTTTCTGGGGAAACATTCCAGATTTTTTTTTGGGATTTTCTCTCCTCGTTTCTATGAAATGAAGATATGAAAAAGGTTTGGAGAAGAGAAATTGAGATATATAGAGAAAATATCAAATTTTCACTTATTGTTGGACGTTTCGGGAACGAATCTGCTCCCGTTTTCAACATTCTTTATGTTTTGATGCAAAAATGAATACATTTCTGTTATCTCAAGAAAACCATCCCAAGAACGGTAAACCAGCAATCAGAGATGTAGGTCTGCAGCTAGGGTGTATATCAAATTCAAAAATATTTGTTGTCATCATAATGAAAATTAAGCATTTTGACGATTGTTAAGTTACTACCATAGAAACACCCTCATTTTCTGAAATATAGCAAATACCAATGAAACAACGTTCATGTATAGATACCTGATGATGGGGGTAATGCTGAATTCGCCATACCATTCATAGCTGCATGAGGGAGCTGCGTTGCTATCGCAGCCATCGGGTTAATGTAAGTTCCTTGTGCAGTCGCAGCTGCCATAATTGCAGCTTGTTGCTGAAAAAAAAAATTAAAAAACAATTCGTTAGAAGGTTTCTGATTTGTAGTCTTCAGGGTGTATCAATTATTGAAATATTATTAATCTCATAATTTTATTTTCATTTGCACTATCTGTTGACGGAAATTCGGGTACCATCGAAAAACAATGACAGACAGACATTTTCCAATGATTCCTATTTATATAAGTATCACATCCTATTGAAAAATATATCTCACCTCTGAAATTAACCTGCATGAATTGCAATATTCGAAGCCCTGGAAACTGCTCAAAATACGCAAAACTTTCATACTTTCATGCTCGGTGAGATTATATTTATTCATTGAAATTTTGAGAATGAAAAGATCTCTAACTTTCGTATCTACACTTTTTCCACATAATCTCAAAATTCATATGGGAGATTCAGATAGCCAAGTTTTTAGTTTTTCAATCTCATCTTTCACCTCCTTTTGACTTGATATCGAAAAAGCACCCTGATTTTCAATCAAAAATTCTCGCGTCAAAATGTTTGCTTTTTTAAAAAAGTCGATGGACTTTGAGTTCGTTGAAATCTCTTCTTCTTGATGGTGTAGAAGAACATATACATCACTGTAGTAAATGTTCTCAGGAAATGCAAAGAACTCAAAAAGCAGCAGTCACATTATTTTAGATGAAATCCCCTTCATTATTTAGAAGAACTATTTCCACAAGTTTTTTGCAATATTAATGGATTCGATATTTTTTGATCATCTGTGTAACATGAAATCTCACGTTTTTCAAGTGATTAGTGTTGATTTCAATAAAAAGCTCAAAATTGTACATAATGATTCCAAAACAAATTCGGATTCGAGTTTAGTTTTTTGCATTTTTTGAGAACATTAAGACTAGTAATTTATATTTCTTCACACCATCAGAAATTGAAGATTTCAATGAACAAAAAGCCCACCGACTTTTTTGGAATAGCAGTAATTTCAAAGCGAGAATTTTCGATTGAAAATTAGTGTTTTTGTGCAAAAAATCCATTCTACCAAATTTCGTGAAAAAACATTCTTTACTGTGAGAGATAAAAATACAAAACCAAAAACTTGGTAATTCCAATTTTCCTCATAAATTTTGAGGTTATCTTAGATCTTTTTATTACCTACATCTTTGCTTTTCCACTTTTTTCCATGGGACTTTTAGTTTTGTCAGAAATCGAGATTAAAAGTTTTTCACCCTTAAAACCTCACCCTGTTCCACTTTCCGACCTCAGTTCGACCATAATTTATTTTTTCTCTCATCTTTGTTATATTCTATTCCTTTTCCATGCAATTTTGTTAATACGAAGTCGAATGGAAAGCAACTTATTTATATAAAACTCTAGAAAACCGAACGAAAGTAAACATCACTGTAACTACTCGACATTTCGATACTCCAGTTAGGAGTACAAACTTTTTTTATTCTAGGACGAGCGTAATCAATTATAAACAGAAATATGCCTGTGCGAAATGTAGCGTGTATACTTCAAAGAAACCATAAATGTTATGAGTGTGCTCGCCAAATACTCCGCAATCTTTGTGTAATGCCCGGGAATTATTCGTCGAAAACAGAAAATATTTACCTACCCGGCATTCCCTCACAGGATTATAGTTGTCAGTATTTCGCTTCATTCATCTATTGATGTGTATTGGTTACGAAATGATATATTTTCCGAAGGCATGTAAAACCATTCCAGTTGATCGAATGGCACCTGTGCCAATCACTATCCTGAGCAAAATGATTGAAAAATCGCACTTTCCTGTGCGGGAAATTGCGCTCGATTTCGCGACTTTGATAACGAGATAAGAATTATGCCATCCGAAACCACCTGGAAATGCAATAATTCAATTATCAAGCTCCACTTTTTTTATCATGAAAAACTCTCAAAATTATTGTGAATTTTTTCGGACATCACCGTTTCACGGCATTTCAACAAAAGCGCCTTCCCAATGTAATACTGTTTGAAGAATCATATTCTGGTACTAAAAACTAAATTAATCGTGAAACAAAGAAATTGGGACATTTTTATAGAATCGGTCACTAGTTTCGCACCTCCCTGTATATTATATAATTTTTTCCCTATCACGAAACGATTAGTTAGATCAAATTAGCCATAAGCACCAAATTTAGTGCTTCTAGGAGCAATGGTAACGAAGACAATTGAAGAAAACTGCATTCAAGTGCCTACCTTAGGAAGAATTTCGAAATATCTCTATACAGTTTGGTTTGTTTACATTTCTATTATGAAGAAAAAAACATTCAAGTAAAAAAAAATGTCGCATGATAAATTCAGTGAATTGAAGTCATTTGGGTGCTATTGAATAAGGAGGTTAATTGAAATAGAATCATCACTCAAATACCTTTCAGTTTCAACAATAATGCCACGGTAATTTTCGAACGGCTAAAAATTTACCGCGAGAAAAAACTGACGACACGATCTCGTAAGTAGGGGCAGACCATAGCACAATATTAGTTATTCAATAATTCATAAATCCTCAATTTTTGTATTGGTTATGTTCCTAATTAGACAAAAAAACAGCAATTGTCCCAAAATATTCCCTCATCTGTTGTGGCTTATTGCTTACAATTACATTTGTGTTAATAATAATATTATTTTATTAATTCACACTACAGGACATTTGAGGGTAAACGTGACAACACTGTATCACGAATTGTGGGCGGTGCCTTGTCAGTTCTCAGCATTTATCACATTGTTGCCAAGTCTTCAACATCAACATGATACTTTGTTATGAGGTATAAGAGATATTCAGACATGCAGGTGATTCAAAAAAGTGAAGAATGAACTATTATCTCATGGCTTCCTAATATTATGTTTTATCTCCTGTTTTAACGACAGGAATCTAATAATCTTTTTGATAAATTGATTAAAATTCGTGTCTTGACAACCTTGGTTCATGAGCTAGTGGAAATGGAAGATTATCTGACCAATAACGAAACAGCATAAAACTGACGTTATCATTCATTCGACAATTTTGAACAAAGCATAGACTCATTAATTACATAAAAAATTCGTGAGAATTGTTTGCAAAAATTAATTTAGTTCCCTAACTACACAGTGGAATAATTCATCATCAATCCACTTGCCCATTCTACTGCGTTATGTATCTCCTATCCGCCATTTTTTTTCGTCCCTGGCTATTGAACCGTCCAGTCGGAATGCCTGGCGGTCCGAACACGTCTCTGTAATGAGCACCCGAAAGGAAATACAAGAGCAGGACGTCTGACCACAAGTATTCGTCCTCGTCGAATTGAGTATCGAATTAAATCTAGCCGGTCCAGCTTGAAGGGATGAAAGCACTCTTCCGATACTAATATTCAAGGCGCAGCCATTCATAACGAACAAAGACAAGGATTCTCTCTTGGGATATGAGGAATGTCGCTGTTGAGAGTTGACTACCTAGGCGAAAGCTCTTTGATAATTGGTAATGAAAAACAAATTAGTATAGCTTTGTTTCGTACCATCAGTATTTAATTACGACTACAAGTGTACAGGACCAACTCCTTCTTGATATTGAAAATTTTGTCTGGTATTATTCCCCCATTTAATATTGAGAATTCTACATGAAGGGATCATGGTACTCCTCTCTTGTTATTTTTCATATCGAACGTTTGTGATAGCCACATATTTATTCAGAAATCTTTTAAAAGTATGTACACCTAATTTGTATCCTGTATCAATAAATCCAAACGAGCTATAAAAGTTCTGCTGGCGCCTGGTTTCAACTCCATAAAAAAGTTGCACAAAAAATAAGGGAGATAGCTCGCAATAGTGCCGATGATGGGATACCCTGTAGTGTACAGGGTGTCCCACTTGAATGTGTCACCATCCTTCATCATCACAAATCTCAACATATTTTGGTTATTCAAAATCTTCGCGAGAATAATCTTGTACGAATTTTTTTTATCTACTTCTTTTTTTTATATCAACAATTTTTTCTTCAAATGAAATGATCTATATTTTTTTCCATAATTCGATGAAGGCTGTCAACCTGAATTCAAAAATATATGTATCATTCATATATGATCTAATAACATTTTGAGCATTTCATTAAAAAAAAAATACAGCTATTTTTTTGTATTCCCTGATTAATTCATTCATTGATTCTATTTTTATGAACTCCTGTCCTTTTGTTATTTATATCTAGAATTATGTTGAGACCGTTTTCTCCTAATACTATATAAGGACCTTTGTGAATTGCCTCTAATTTATTTCCTGTGTCATTCTTCACGAGAACTTTACTTCTCATGTCATAAAATTCAGGTTTTGTACAGGTTTTATCGAATAGTTCTTTCCTCTTATGCTTAGATTTCAACAAATTATCTCTGGCATCCTCATAAGCTACCTGTAGACGATATTTTAATTCATCGGATATTCTATTGGATGGTAGTCGGCTGTGTTTCTCAAAAACAAGTTCGTATGGGGTATACTTGGTTTCAGAACCAATATGGAACCTAATGGCTCCACAAATCTGGATATTTTGACAGCTGAATTCTTAGAAAAGCGCCTACGCTTCTGCGAATTTTCGAGAGCACCTAACGTTTCATGATGATACGCACTGGAATTAAGATGGTTTTCCGATAGAAGTTTGAGTGGGACACCATGTACAGGGTGGGCCACCAGTAACGCCTCGGTCTCTAGAAGGCTAACCACTTATCTTCTTGGAATTCTTCCTCTCTAGGAAGTTGCATGTCAACATAGGCTACCATTTAAAATTATTTCGAAACATACAGGGTGTCCCCAAAAACCATAAAACACTGAAGTTAAACTTTTTTCTATCGAACACCCTATATATTATTTCATTTTGAGATTCTCCCTGATGAGCTGATTTCAACGACCTATCATACTTGGGGTCTAGCAGTTATAATTACTGAAATATAGGGTGTGAAAAATCGAGATTTTCCATGTTCAAGAATTTTTTTTGTCGAAACTATTCATAATTGGTCAAAACGGCTTACATGTCCCTATCTCAACTTTTGATTAACTATCTACTGATATTTAATTGGGACATATACCGGGTGATCAAGATTCTGAATTCTGCACCACCCTGTATTTATTTCAATTAAATGTCAGTAGATAGTTGATCAAAAGTTGAGATAGGGACATGTGAGCCGTTTTGACCAATTATGGATGGTTTAGACACAAAAAATTCTTGAACTTGGAAAATCTCGATTTCTCACACCCTATATCTCAGTAATTATAACTGCTAGACCCCAAGTATGATGGATTGTTGAAATCAGCTCACCAGGGAGAATCTCAATATGAAATAATATATAGGGTGTTCGATTGAAAAAAGTTCAACTTCAGTGTTCTGTGATTTTTGGGGACATCCTGTATGTTTCAAAATAATTTCAAATGGTAGCCTATGTTGACATGCAACTTCCTAGAGAGGAAGAATTCCAAGAAGATAAGTGGTTAGCCTTCTAGAGACCGAGGCGTTACTGGTGGCCCACCCTGTATATATTCGAAGAGAAGCGATACTCAGAGAATCCTGAGTCTGTCGATGTTTACCTGTGCGTAAGCTCCGTAAGCACCGAACTGGTTGAACACGAAAGGGTTGAGAAGACTCATGTTTCCGGCCATCTGCTGCATGCGTCTCAGTTGGCGTTCCTTTTCTGTATCGGCAAACTTCACTACTAAGCTGGAAGAGGCTCCCTGGAAAAGAATCAAAGGAACTTCGTTAGTGGTGCGGAAGATATATGCCGTGCTGAGTTTTGAATGGAGTTCGGAGCATCCAGGATAAAGGGAGATGCCGATCTAATATGCTTCCGTTGGGTATCTCATACGGGTTTCTCGGTATATGGTCTGGATGAATAACGAATAGCTATTTATGATACAAATGTTCGAAGTAGCATTTTATTTCGTTAGTGGGGACGCAAAAACAAAATAAAACCACTTTTGATATAATGCATCAAATTACTGTCTGAAAATATACAGGGTGTAACTGAATAAGTGTAAAACATTCAAGGAGATGATTCCTCATCGAAAAAAAGATAGGATCTTTCATATAAAGAAACTTCATTGGAGCATCCCTTGTTAAGATACAGCCCCTTAAAGGGGGTACATAAAATTTGTATAACAATTTTTTTCACAAACACTGAAAAAGTTACAATATTGAAATTAACCTGACGTTTTGTACTACCAAAAAGACACTTAGCCAGTAATTTATTTGGTTTACCCCATGGTTGTAAGGGGTGAAAAACGCAACCCCTAAAATTTATTTCCAATGTAACTTTTTGTCTTATTATTTGTTTACCATTTAAAAATTTATTTCCGATAGCCTGTTTCATTCTAAACAAAAAATGTCTCTTGGGTTTTTTGCCCAAAATAAACCAGTAAGCAGCAAAACATTATTTTACGAACAACTACAGAGATACATCGTCATAAATGCGAAAATACGAAACTAATCTATCTAGTAGGTCGCTATTAGCGATAGTGACAATTAAATTGGTATGACGCTGTCAGGTTAATTTCAATATTGTAACTTTTTCAGTGCTTGTGAAAAAAATTGTTATACAAATTTTATGTACCCCCCTTTAAGGGGCTGTATCTTAACAAGGGATGCTCCAATGAAGTTTCTTTATATGAAAGATCCTATCTTTTTTTCGATGAGGAATCACCTCCTTAAATGTTTTACACTTATTCAGTTACACCCTGTATAATACACTGGACAAAAAGTGTCAATTAATTTGTTGTATCTTGCAGGATAACTACTCTGGAGTACAATAATATCAACATCTCCAACAAATTCATCAAAATAAAGAAAGATGAAGTGCTTTCCTAAAGTACGGAACAAAATTATTTCTAGCCAAACAATCCATTTTCGAGAGATCTTCTGTAACTGGTCAATTTCAATTTTCAATTTGCCACATTTATTGAGGAGAATTGAGTATACGGTGTGGGGTGTTCCACGTACGCGTGAGAATTTTTTAGAAATTTATCGTTCAGCTGAAAATGAATTTAGTCAACACGAAAACACTGTATCCATAAATTGAGAGGTATTGAACACGGAACGTTAAGTAAAGAAGGTGCCAAACACATTCATGAAATAATACCACAACACAATTGTATCATACTATACTATAATTATTATACTATTTTGATGCATACATATATACCATTGGTATTGGAACTGTTTTTCCTGACCCATAACAGATTTGTTTAATTCTGACACCATATATATGTTTTTCCTTAACATTAATGATGTTTCTTGGGTCTTCAGTCTGATTATGGGTGTTGTGCCGAAATCGATCGACCGACTTGGCATTTTTTTCATTTATAGATACTGTTTGGCCACTTTGAGAATGAACGATTTCTATAGCTTACCAACATTTTGATCAAGGCTTTCGAGATTTCGAGTATTGGGAAGCGGATAATCTACAGTTGATCACCCTGTACATGTATGCGATCGCGCAATCCCTTTATCGACAAGGGCTTTCCCTTCCCGCTCCGCCACTCACGCGAATCTATTAGAAATCGTCGAATCTCCTGCTCTCGCTTGAAGGGCCCCATCCAATTCCGCATGTCTTCCTGCGGGATCAGGACGTGGACCGGCGACATTTTGTTATTGAACGCCCCCGGGATAGGCCGATCGCAGGGTCGGGGTGGTACGACGCGTTTTCAGCGAACGGCAAGATTGGTAGAACTGATGATGTTTATGAAAGGAGTTTCGAAATCTCTCGATTTCGGCTACTTTGTGAAAATAGCGAGGTGTGGGAGAATCTTGCTAAATTTCCGAAGTTTCAAACCAAATTTACAGGCATCATAACATATTCATTTGAGTTCACATTTTCATTTTTACAGTTTTTCGTCTAAATGGAAATGGTGCGTTATATTTTCGACTTTCAGTGGTGAATTCATGAAGGACACAAAGTCCTAACTCGAGAAAATCCTGTGATAATAGTTAATTCACTCACTTTTCGTACATAATACAAAAAGGAACTACCTAATATAATTTCAATACCTGCTTGATAAACTACTACTGTTCTTATAAATTATCATTCATAAGCATTTGAAATATTTCTGCTTTTGGGTGTATGATAAATTGACATTCATCATACAGGGCGTGGAATGAAATTCTGAATTGAGACTCTATCACGAATCTGCGATTAGAGGTGAGAGATAATATTTCCCATATCACTGATATGAATGATTATTTTTGGAAGTTTTCAAGCTCATCAAGATCAGAGTTTATGCCAGTATACTTCTCCTATACATTCCAATTTTCATTTCAATGCTGAATATAGTGGTAAGTTATATTTGTAGATCATTATACATCATATTATTCATCCGATTTGAAGAAGAATGTCAATTCTCAATTTCGGAGGATTTTATTTTTTATTTTTTATGTTCTCCTTTTGAATGTTCATCAGATATAATTCAATGTTCGACGTGGCAAATAGCCAGGAAAGTAGTTGTTTTCTGTTGAATATTCAGAATGATGTATGCATATACATATTTTTGTCTGAAGGAGAATGCAAATTCTCAATTTCAGAAGATTTTATATTTTATTCTCAAACTCTTATCGTGTGTGTTTTCAATAGATATAATTCAATGTTCGTCGTGGCATATAGCCAGGAAAGTAGTTGTTTTCTATCGAATAAACTGAAAAAGAGTAGATATTCTCATCACATAGAGAATGCGAATTCTCAATGTATTGCTTCATATTAATATATATCCATTTTTGTATGTCCATAATTCATCTGAGAATATTCCTTTTCAACACTGAAATATTTCTATTTGAAATTTGAACAAAATCATGAATATGTGAATTACTCAAAACATTTTCGAAAAAAATGGAAACATCGCAAGATAAGTGCAAGATTTCACAACAACAGCAGAAAAAATATCGCTGTGATGAGGATTTGACTCAGATTCAATAGTGGCTTAGGTATGGTGTTGAGATCTACTATTCAATATGGCATAGGATGGCATCGATATCAAATAGCGAAAGTTTTGCAAATTACCGCACAGGAAAGTGTCAGTTTTCAATCATTCTGCTCAGGATACTGGTTGGCAAAGGTGCCGGTCGATAAAACATAATGGCACATGCCTTTGGGTCATCTTTTCGATATGCAGGTGACAGTCGAAATTTCCTCCCGGCCCTTGGACTACTATCTCGTTATCAAATGACGGTTGAAATTTTCAGTCGGCTCTCCGACTATACGTTTTCCCGATTCCGTTCCACTTATTCTACCCACATGGAAAAAAATGTAATTATTGTTTTCTAACGCAATAACCGACTGCCAATCGCGCCAGGCGCGGATCCCGAATCAGTCAGTCAGAAGAAAAATTCCCCGAGCCACAGAACGCATGATTTGTTTGATTTCTCCCGTCTTCTCTGCTCGAAAACGATAAAATAACATCCTAAGCCGTATTATTTCTGGGGTAAATATGTCGGTATTGCTGCGATGCTTTCTGGCGGAGAGTTGGATATCGGGGATGAAGGATATTTGGTCCGGAATGAGACGTGAGAGTAATGAAACATTCGGAAAAAAGCCGATATAGTTTGATCGTTCTGACATTCACGTATAATGGCGTTTCCTCAGAGAAAAACAAGAAATTGATTACATTCAAAGCTCAATTAAGTCTTATTCATATTGTTAAGATTAGATAGATAGATAGATAGATAGATAGATAGATAGATTTCTCAATACAGTGAGTGCAAAAAAATACATTTTTTTTACAAATCAATGCAAGTTCCTAAGAACATTTGAGATAACGAGAGAGAAAAATAAATAATGTATACAAATCGGAGTTGATATTTGGCAATACTTTACAAATTTAGTGACAGAAATTATCATTTATATGTACAATGAATAGATGTTTCGGTATTTGCTTTTGTAAATTTAATGAAATATTTAATGAAATAGTTATTAATAGAAATAAACATTAATATTGAGGTTGAAAATACCATTGACTATTGTTTGAAAAAAATTCTTCTAGGATATGATAAATGTTTGACAGTAAATATTGTTTGAGTGATTTCTTGAAGCGATTCAGTGAGCAAATTTCTGTGAGTGAGTTGGGTAGGTGATTTAAAATTTTGATACCCATATATAATGGTCCTTTTCTGTTAGCATCATAGATGAACATTGGTTTCAAAATTATTCTGTTATTACGAGTATTATAGCTATGTATATCTGATAGTTTTTTGAAATTATGTTTTCTTTTAAATGCTTCGATTGTTACTCTGTATATATAAAGGTTGGTGAGAGTAAATATCCTCAAGTTGACAAAGTGCCTGCGACATGAGTCTTGTCTATTTAAACCCAACATGGCCCGGACAGCTTTTTTTTTGTAATATAAATGTGGAATTTGAGTTAACTGAGTTTCCCCAGAATTCAACTCCGTAGTTTAGAATACTATAAAAATAGGCAAAATAAACTGTTTGGGCAGCAGCGGTGCCGATATTAATTCTAATTGTGGAAATTGCATAAACGGCGCTTGCCAGTTTATTGTTAATATAAGATATATGAGATTTCCAATCCAATTTATCATCGATGATAAAGCCCAAGAACTTTGTATGCGTCACGGGGATTATGTTACCATCAATAGTTGTAATTTGTAATGGTTCGTTGTGTTTATTCGGGAGTATGGTCATATTTAAAGTTTTTTCTAGGTTAATCATAAGCTTATTGGCTCTGAACCAGTCAACTATATTA